CCACCGTCCCATTGTTGTCCCTGCTCTCCACCGTCCCATTGTTGTCCCTGCTCTCCACCGTCCCATTGTTGTCCCTGCTCTCCGCCGTCCCCATTGTTGTCCCTGCTCTCCAATGTCCCCATTGTTTTTCAAACTTCAACACATCTTTTTTATTACATTTTCTCCTGCTCTTGTTCTCTTCTTTTCCTTCGGTGCTTCATATCCTACTTCGCACCTCATTTACCCCGAATTTTCCTCATCATTTATTCTACGTCGCTTCAACCTAATTGTTCTGTCTTCGTTCATGATTTTCTTCGTTTTTGCAATGCTTTTGCTTGCGTTGTTGCCATGTCATTGTTTCTTCTGCTCCATTTCTACTGTTGTTTACTCTGCTCTACGTAAAAAATAATTAGTGTTGTGTTGGTGTGTTGTGTTGGTGTGTGGTGTTGTGTTGGTGTGTGGTGTTGTGTTGGTGTGTAGTGTTGTGGTGGTGTGTAGTGTTGTGTTGGTGTGTGGTGTTGTGTTGGTGTGTAGTGTTGTGTTGGTGTGTATTGTTGTGTTGGTGTGTATTGTTGTGTTAGAGTGTACTATTGTGTTGGTGTGTTTGTTCTGTGGTGTATCATTAGTGCATCTGGAAATACCTAATAATCTTTTAAAGTATAAAACAGCACGAATAATCTATAATTATTTTTATTTGAAACAAAGTAGTAGTTTGTACTGCAGGCACATCTGCTGAGACGGCTTCGTTCGGGGACTTGTTGTTTCACTGAAATTATTATATGAATTTCCAATGTTGGCAAGCGACGTCGGATATGCAAATGACATCTTGAAAAATCCATGCATAATAAGACGATGGCGCTGATGGCAATATTTCCTATTGGTTAGGTTTAGCTTCGACACGCGGCGTCCCCACAGAACATTTCCTTTAATCTTGCGTGAGCGTTCATGCAGGAAGTTCTTATTAATTATTTGTTAGTGCCTGATGTAGGTTTATTATTTTCTGGTTAATTCTAAGTTCTTGACGGTTAAAATTGTTTATCAAGAATAAATATATTGAATAGAGCAGCGCTACCTTGGAAGACGCTGCGCAAAGAGATGCACTCTACATATCTAGTGTTATTATTATTAAGATTTCTTTATGGGGTCTCATACGACTGCTAGGCACATAAACCTAAAGTTCTCGAGTATCAAGAACCCACTCAACTTCATTTCTTCCTGACTTAATCGCATGACTGCGCTCTAAATGAGTCATCCTGACTCACTTTTTGACACAAATTTATCACGGGTAACACTTGTTTCATCGAGTGATGGTGGCCAATCTTTCTGGAGCTGTTATACCTACTATCGTTCTTTGCAATAGCATTTTCCTCTTTCCTGTTGTTCTGCCCTTGTTATCGCTGATATATGAGACACAATCAGAACACGCGGCGCTCCCTTAATCTTCGAAAAAATGTTTACATAACTTAAAGTGGGTAATTAAAATCCCTTGATGTGGAGCCGCTGGCCACAGCGACCTGTTGCTGAGCTTTACGTGGGCTAGAAAGTTGCTAAGTGTCTTATTTATTTATTATACACAATTTGCTTTCTGATAAGTGTATGTCATTGAGTTATGGTGTGATATATAATCAGAAATTGTTATGTTCATTTCGTCAATATTCTCACAATTTTTAGGCTGATTACACTTATTATGAAGTTTTTATTATGGTATCGCACTATTTACTATTTAGGCATCTAAATAATTGAAGTTTTCTTTTAGCATTAAGGAATCGCACTATTTACTATTTAAAAATCTAAATAACTGTTTTTTTACCAATATAGTGTCGCACTATTTTCTATTCAATCATCTAAATAATTTAATGCAGATGCTGGTACCATTTCCTATCTTGATCATCTTCCCACCGTGTTCAGATCAATCATATACTACATATCATTATTATCATCATGACATCAATTGCTGCTACGGTGTACGCGTGTCATATTTCCTGCATCAACGAGCGTATGAATCTCATAGCCTTAAATATGCACGTAAATGTTTGCCTTGCTTGTAAAGACGCTTCCAAAAACGCTAAGGGATGCGCCAAAAAAATTTCAGCGTTCGATAATGAAATTTGTTCTCTGTAAAATGGGTATCAACTCAGATGATATTTTCGTTGGTGCTTTTATTTTGCAAGCGTGTCCTTGATTCTTGCTTATTTCAACATGTCTTTTAATACAATTGTTAAATTAAAAGGATAATTATTTTCTAATTTCACCAAATACTTTATTATAGTGAGGAAAATTTATGAAAGCTCCAATGAAAATTCATTGGTGTTTAATGCAATGGTTTAATTCAGAGACTCAATTCGATCAACGGTTCGGACAAATAACTCAAATAATAAATCAGATGCTTTATATTAAGCTGATGAACCAAATCCGATGCGTACGAAAAATTGACTGAACTTGCGGGTTGGTGTTCGGTGGAAAACTTACAAGCTGACTGAAGTCATTCGAGTTTTGCGTGACTAGTTTTTCTTTCAACTGCAAACTTGACACTTGGAAAGGATGTACGAGCTCAACTTTTATTTTTTAGACAGTTTTGCCTCAAAGTAATGTTTGTTATCGAAGTTACCCTCTAGGGGGAGGGCTTCTGATGGGTGTCTATGCTCATCAGAAGTCCTATGGGATTTCGTGTTGCTAGGGGGATTGTTCCTGAGCGCCCCACCGCTGAGCTCGCGGTGTCTGATTGCGTGGAGTTAAGTTATTATGTAGGTAAGATTCCTTACATTAAGTTATTATGTAGGTAGGATTCCTTACATTTCCCTTCTCTGTCTCTCTCGTGCGGGCGGCTGACGTCCCGTGTAAGCGACCTCTTGTTCGAGTGTCTTAGTTTCTGTTGCTTTTCACCTGTCCCTCCTTGTCACTTCGTCTCTTTGAGATGCTAACGCTGCTTCTTTCGAGACATCTAAGACCTCCTGCCCCTTGTAAATGATGATTAATTTGAGATATTTTGAATGATTGATACTTTCCGCCTTGCTGGCAATGTTATATTTTGACCTCCGGTGCGAAATAGCTTTATGGCTAAATCGCTGGCAAACCATTCTACTACTTCTATTTCTTATCATTTTTTTTTGCTACAAATAATGCCAGATAGTTCTCACGTGATTCATGTATGAAGTTTTTCGTGAACGAGTCGTCTTCGGTCAGCAATAATAATAAGTGTACGCTCGTTTGTCAAAATCTGGGAAGTAATGAACAAGACACATCGATGCTGTAAAGACACTAATAGCAATGACGCTGAAGACTCACTTATTTTTATATTTCTGAGGAAATCCTTTCAAGCGGTGGTCTTGGAACCCTGAATTATATACTTCTGCTTTAGCATTCTGTTGCAACCAACAGATACACAAGCGTTGCAGATGTTCTGCAAGTTCTGTTGCGTTTAACAGATGCACAAAAGCAGTGACAGATATTCTTGTATTCATGATGATAAATTAGCAAACAATGTTGGGGTAAATACCCCGCAGAGGCGAGCGCCTATAGCACCAGTCGATGATGCTTCACATTATACACTAAGCTGTGCCGCAGCTATGATGGATATGTCATATATTTGATGGATGTCATATATCATGATGCCATTATGGATGTCATATATCTTCCTTGCCCTCAAATTCCTGAATTATGTTGATAAAAGATTGCGGTGCAAGGCAAGGGAGGCCTTCTGGTTTCTGAGGAACTGTGCAACAGTCTTAAGGTTCTATCATCTTGCAAATCCCACATAATCTTGCAAATTTCCTGCACTTCGTTTAGGTAATATCGGGCAAATGCTTGCGGTAGTTCAGCGCAGGATGCTCTGCAAGGCTCAAAATATCGCCTATTAAGTAGAGACCGCCTCCTGCTCCCTGCAAGAAGATATCCTTTAAGATATCCTTTCAGAGGACGAAACAAAATACTTAGAATATGAAATAAAATTTCTGATATTTAAGGTTATTACTGAATTCGATTCCGAGAACGGCCTTAAAATATATGGATTTTTTTATCAAAATATTTAACAAACTCGGATGAGTCGTGTTCTGGTTTGTTATTTGTTTTGGAGTTTGTAGGAAGATAACTTTTGTCCTGACGCTTTTGGTTCGCGTAATTTAGTTGTGCTGCAGGTTAAGTGCCTGGACGTGGCAGACTTGTAAGATAGAATGTTCTAGTTACTTGAAGTTATTTTATTTTAAATATTAGCAGCAAAATCGAGAATTTCGTATTATTCCATTGATTCGCTGTACATTCTGCACTCAGTGTAGAAGACTATCATACAGTAATTGTAATGAGGAAGTAACGCCAACATGTGCATTTAATTGCTTACAAGAGTTGGAGCTAGATGCACATGCTGCCGCCTGCAATTTTCGTTCGAATTTTAGGCCATTTAATAAAAAGGTAGCTTGTAATGTTGCCTATAATTTGCCGCTACTTGCAGCTGTATTTTCCTTATATTTATGTCATCCTTCGTTACGATGGTTGATGGGTGGGCTATACCCTACATGGCTGTGTTTGCTGACATTTTATTTATACGGGGCAAGATAATACCATGGTAGCAAGTTCTAAGATCGAGGCTATCTTTAGTTCTACTTGGCCTCTATTTCTGTAACGATCGAAGGTTTTATTCTCATAAACTCCGACAATGGTCGGAAAATGAACGGAAATGGTAATTTATCTGTCTTCTTTAAGTTATTTTTTCTGTTTTATCGCTGTTCTATTGGACGGTAATTATGAACTCTTTACCCACAGACAATAACCGTGGCTGTGGCTCGTGGCTACAGGCGGCCATGGAGGGGGGCCGCCCCCCCTCTGGTCGACCCTCCCCCCTTGGCGCCCCCCCTGACGGTGTCCCCTCCAGCCCCTCGCCCCCTCCCGACAACACAGGTTAGTTTATCTTATAAATGAACAAGGCTCCCCTTTAGTTATATAGCTATCTAAATGGTGATCAATTCTCTTGATAATTCTTCAATAGTAACAAATTTTATGTTTAATAGCAAGAATGCATTCCACATACTTGGTCTTTTATGGGTTGGACAAATACGTAGACTCGCGGCAGAATACGTTGACTCGCGGCAGAATACGTTGACTCGCGGCAGAATACGTTGACTCGCGGCAGAATACGTAGACTCGCAGCAGAATACGTAGACTCGCAGCAGAATACGTAGACTCGCGGCAGAATACGTAGACTCGCAGCAGAGAAAAACTGCCGATCTGAGGTAATTAGTCTCGCTAATATGCACATAAGATCGCGATGTTGGAATTACCGGCGTGTTTTCGGCGGCCGGCCGTCGTGACCTGCCGTAGAGCAGGAGCGTCTGGCAACAGATTGCAGCACGGCGCAATCAATCGCTCTGCTTCAGGAGGGATAATCTTGGCCGCGGTATGGGCGGCCAGCTGACGGCCGCCTATACTCGGCGCAAAGTTTTCAGTGAGGGAGCGCACGGGAGATGAAATTCTGCACAGATGAATTGCAGACACCAGCTCCGCATTCTGGCCTGCAGCGCCCACGCATTCTGGCCTGCAGCGCCCACGCATTCTGGCCTGCAGCGCCTACGCATTCTGGCCTGCAGCGCCCAGTAGCACCTACTCTAATGCATGCTTAAAGTATGTCTATCTGTAAGTAATATTTTATTAATCGTTTTTTGTTAGTTTTTTCCTGCGTGAGTTTTGACGCTCTCTCCCACATTAATGTTTTCATTAATAACGTAATTTTTGTCTATATTATCTTGAATTATGCAGTCAAATATTTTACACACCTAAGTTTACAATAGTTAATTATACTATTCGTAAACTTAGTGCTCATTAAATTTGACAAGTAGACAACGAATCGTAAACAGCCTCATTTTAATTTCTCTTCTATATATCTCTGTACAATATCATACATACGTATAATAATACACATATACATATACGTCTCTGTATAATATTATACATATAATATAATATACCTATATTAGTATAATATTATACATATGTATAATATTATACATAACGTCCCTGTACAATATTATACATCAAGACGCCCGTCTTGCCTCATGCTGCCTGGTGCCAAATATTGGCCGCGGGGACGTCATTTGACGCGGCGCTGTTTGCTCAAGCAACTCATAATACAAGAGTGGAATTTATCCGCTGTCGAGTCAACAGCTCGGCCCTTGCCGCCCGCCTCCATTAAAATCTTAGTTCTAATAATTGCCGCCCGCCTCCATTAAAATCTTAGTTCTAATAATTGCCGCCCGCCTCCATTAAAATCTTAGTTCTTATAATCGGTCGTGAGCCGCCGGCCGTCTGCCTCTGGTGCGGCCATGCTTACTTACATCGCTGTTATTTGACGCCCAGTGGATGCAGGCGAAATAAAGGCGCCTTATTTTGTCGAGGTTCTTAACTCGAGCCTTTGCCGGAACCATTACACGGCGCTGTCTCGTGTACCGGCGCTGTGCAAGTCTCGTGTACCGGCGCTGTGCAAGTCTCGTGTACCGGCGCTGCAAGTCTCGTGTACCGGCGCTGCAAGTCTCGTGTACCGGCGCTGCAAGTCTCGTGTACCGGCGCTGTCCCGTCTCGTGTACCGGCGCTGCATATCTAGTGTACCGGTGCTGTCCCCAGTACACGCGTTTCCCCACAATAGTTGTATAAATTCTAACTGTTTGTTTTCTCTTCGACCCACTGAACAACCTAATACTACGCAGCTGCAGAAGAATTGTTCGAAGATCTGGTGATGTCGCGTGTCGGTCATAGTGAAGCGCGTGACCTGGCACTGATATGGTGTGCAGTCCTTATAACCTTATGATGAGTTCGGGACTTCCTAGTCCCCGGTCACGCTGATGCGCCGCCTTCGTCGTCCTCCGACTCCGAGTCGTCGCTATAGGCAGGTCACCACGCCCTTGGGTCCCGTCGTCCCGCGACGGGACCCGAGATCAAGGGCAACTAAGATGAGAGCATGACAGTGACGTGCAATTCTTATAGGAATAGCATTGCAAATAAAAGTTTGGCTGGGTAGCAGTAGAGCATTATTATTTAGTCAAGGCACTGTGCCAACGCTAAACTGTTGCAGCAGTATTATCCACATATTTATGAAATCCTTCCTTACGATGATTCACAATAAACGCTCAAGACAACTTTCCCAAACTTGATTTCTTCATCTCTGATCATCAGTCGATTCTGCAAGAACGACCCGCACAAATTTTGCGAAAGCTCCGAAAGGAACCCGGCATAATTTTTTGCATCGTTTGACGTGGAATAAATTCGGAGCCGCAATTTATGGTTTTTTGTAACAGGTGCAATTTTTTCCAGATTTGCGAATTATTATTTTTTTAGCGGTCTTCGCCGTTGTGTGAGGTTCACGCCTGGCGGCTCTCGGCGCAAACAAGATTTGTTGGCTTCATTCTGCGTTGAAATTAAAACATCGCGCGTGTCTCTTGAAGCTGCCCTGCAGGCCGCGTGTTGCGCGTGTCTCTTGAAGCTGCATTGCAGGCCGCGTGTTGCGCGTGTCTTGCCGCCGATAAAACGGCCGAGAATTCAGTGAACTTGCAGGCGCTCGACTCTCAGCGCCAAGGAAACCTTTATTGCAAATTGTCATCGCCCCAAAAAACGTGTTTTTTTTAGCTCCGAAAATTTACGCGAATTTTTTGAGGCGAAATAGAGCTCGCTGAGTTGTGTGTGCCGTCGGGGGCGTTTTTTGGTGTGTTCAAAAAGTTTGCTTGTAACGGCGCATGAAATTTTCGCATTTTGTTCGTCTATAACTTTTCTTTTAAACAAAGAAAGATAACAGGAACCATAGGAGTCAATTTTGTATAGCTTAATCAAAGAAGCGACTTCTTAACTGCATATATGCACTGAAGGTAATCGTAACTACAGAGAAAACTCGATCGTTGCTACAATTTTACAAATTACAGCTACATGGAAAGTTTAGTAACAACATTTGTTGTTTATTCTTGCATACGCTGAAGGTAATGCTTCAATGTGATAATTTAAAAATTCATGTTAAACAGATGAGAGAAACATTGAGCGGTATTATTAAACGAACTTGAAATGCGAATTTGTGGTGTTGTATTGTCGACATAATATTATGATAAATGTTACAATATAACAAAAATAGTTGCAGTGCAAATAATTCGCATAGCTACAATTAGAGGCAGAATATCTGTATATTTTTTCTGTTTAAAAGACTACCAAAGCATTTGCCTTGCCAACGGAAAGTCGACATCTGAAGCACCAAAAAAAAAAAATCTTAATTGATGCTGCCTATGAATACGTTTGAGGCTGATGAAGCGCAAAATTATTCCATGCTAAATCTGAGATGTTTCTCATAGAGTTCATCTTATGGATTATTTTCGAAATTATGATTTACTGAATGATTCAGATTTGCTATCAACAAATTTTGGAACCGTTTTATTTTAATGCAAGAAATGGTGAAAGCCCTTCGATCAGAGGCATGAGTTGTCTTACTTCGGACTTTCTTCCGAAGTAAAAGTTCGGTATGGTTTACTGTCATGAACCCAAGGTTTACTATCATGAACCCAAGATTCCATTGATAAGGTTTACTCCATCGGGTAAGGTTTACTCCATTCCATTGGGTAAGGTTTACTGTCATGAACCCAAGATTCCATTGAGGTTTCAAATGCGGGAATTTCGCAATATTGCGGGAAGCGCGCCAAAAATACTGTTATTATTTAGCTGAAAACGCCGTAAAAGTTGAGACTGTCCCAATATTGTTGAAGGATCAATAGCAATCCCTGACTAGAGGGAAGTTTCTTTTATGCCTCGCATGAGTACATTTCTATTCAGTCTTTTAAACTGAATGTATATCATTTGTTGTAGAACTTAGAACGTTTTTAATTGACGTCTTCAATGATGAAATTGCGTGAAGGTCAAATCATCGATCAAAAAATATCGGTTAACATTACCGGCATGATATATATGACCAAAGCTAGAACATCTAAAAAAATATTGCTATCCAGATATGCATGTTGGAACATTCTGGAATTCAAAACAATATTATTTATTTAATTTGCGTATAATGTTGCAGCAATGCCACCGTCGTTGGACAATTATGTTTTTCGTACAGTATAATATCATGGTAATCAAACTCCACTTGCAACACCGCTCCATTCATGCACATTACGCCAATCTGAACAATGGATCTAATGTGTATACATCGCTCTCTTCTTATTATGTCTGTCTATCTATATCGGTATGACTTATTTGTATGATGGATACCTAAGGATCATAAGAGCAAACTAATCGAGATTCCTTCAAACAAACTTTCACTTTGGGTGTTTTATAGTAAAGTGCCTTTAGGCATCCGTGTAATGGCATCAAGAGTTGCAGAAAAATTACATGCAAATCGTTTGAATAATTATGAATGGCCGTACCTACGGAAATTCAATTTTTGTATTTCGTCTCTTTCACAATGTCTTAAATTATTCTCATATAAACCTTAAATTATCCTTACAATTTCTACAATAACAATAATTTTTTTGTTACCCTCCGTTTCAAATTTTCATCACTGATGATCGAAATACTCATTGCATGATGCAAACAAATGAACATATACATATAAAAAATATAGAATGGTGATGCAATCACGTATAACTCGTTAATATTTCAACTGATAATTTCAAAGATGAAATAGCAAATAACCAAGATAAATAAATAGCCCCTTAAATACCAAACAGTGCGGGCACCCTGCTGCCGTCGCTCCAGTCGCAAGCCATGAATTTTACAGATACAAATTTCTATCTACCTCAGTCTTGCCTACTTCTAAGTATGACAATTTTCAGTAGTTAGTACAAATTAAAAGGGTCAGTTAATTCTGGTACACCCTGTACTAAACAGTGCGGGCACCCTGCTGTCGCTCCAGTCGCAAGCCATGAATTTTACAGATACAAATTTCTATCTACCTCAGTCTTGCCTACTTCTAAGTATGACAATTTTCAGTAGTTAGTACTGAAAACTACTGGTCAAATTCTGCGGCTGCACCTATTTTACTTTTCGTGCATAGAAATTATTTCACATCAATAGATCATGCAAAATATACTGTAACGGCTGAGAGGGCCTCCCTCCGATGTTGAAGGGAGAAATTTTATCCTCCCTCCGAGTTTGGCTGTGGTTGAATTTCCTGTAGGATTGTAGCTCACGGCTATGGCTGAGGGAACTGGAGGCTTCTTTGATGGCTTCTATCAAATTCAAATGAGCCATGAAAAGTTTCCAATGGCCGCACCAGAGGCTCAAATGCACGCACCAACTTTATGTTCCGTGTGCTTCGTACTCCGGGAGGTCATTTGTTGAAGCCCAAGTTGATACTTCGGAAATTGATTGAAGCTTTCCCGCTTACTACGCAACGGGTTTCATTTTCTAATGCTTATTAGTATCTTATACCGTTCTTGAACACGAAACAAATCAAAAGAGGTTTAATGTACGTTTCTTTCACAATCCATTCCATTTCCATCGCACACAATTTTTCCCATTCATACCGTTGACCTCGCTTACTGAGCTTGATCGAAACGCGCGCGTTTAAAAACAAGCTAACAGGTGAGCGCGGGAGCCGAGTAGCTAACACCGCCCGACCGCGCCAGCACAGCGCTACATCACAGGGACTGATCCTGCTCCATTTCTGCTCCATGGCTGCTCCATGGCTGCTCCATGGCTGCTCCATGGCTGCTCCTTGGCTGCTCCATGCCCAGATATCCTCATGCCAGCGCATTGTTAACATCATCGCCGCATGCTAGGTCTCTGGTGCAGAACGAGGGTTTTAGGGACATCACGCGGCTCTCAGATGCAGCTCGCGGCTCTCAGGTGCAGCACGAGACTCTCTGGTGCAGTACGAGGCTCCCAGCTGCAGCATGTGGCTCTCAAATGCAGCTCGCGGCTCTCAGGTGCAGCACGTCGGCGGCTTTCAGGAGCTGCACGCAGCTCTCAGGTACAAAACTCGGATCTCAGGTGCAGCACGCGGCTCTCTGGTGCACTACGAGGCTCTCAGTTGCAGCACGCAGCTCTCAGATGCAGCACGCAGCTTTCAGGTGCAGCACGCAGCTCTTAGATGCAGCACGCAGCTCTCACGTGCAGCACAAGGCTCTCAGGTGCAGCACAAGGCTCTCATGTGCTGAAAGTCGCTCTCAGTTGCAGCACGCAACTCTTAGATGCAGCACGAAGCTCTCACGTGCAGCACGCAGCTCTCAGGTGCAGCACGAGGATCTCAGGTGCAGCACGCAGCTCTCAGGTGCAACACGCGGCTCTCAGGTGCAGCACAAGGCTCTCAGGTGCAGCACAAGGCTCTCAGGTGCAGCACAAGGCTCTCAGGTGCAGCACAAGGCTCTCAGGTGCAGCACGCAGCTCTCAGGTGCAGCACAAGGCTCTCAGGAGCAGCACGAGGCTCTCAGGTGCTGCACGCAGTTCTCAGGTGCAGCACGCAGCTCTCAGGTGCTGCACGCAGTTCTCAGGTGCAGCACGCAGCTCTCAGGTGCTGCACTTCTATCCCAAGTGCAGCGTGCAGCTGAGCGCTGCAGCTTCTCCAGGTTTTGTTTGCCGCAGCGATTGTTTCTGCCGACGTTGCTAAAGAATTGCGAAAAAATCCTTCTGAATTGTGGTGCAACTTGGCCATGTGCAGGAGACAAGACTTGGCCATGTGTAGGAGACAAGACTTGGCCATGTGCAGGAGACAAGACTTGGCCATGTGCAGGAGACAAGACTTGGCCATGTGCAGGAGACAAGACTTGGCCATGTGCAGGAGACAAGACTTGGCCATGTGCAGGAGACAAGACTTGGCCATGTGCAAGAGACAAGACTTGGCCATGTGCAGGAGACAAGACTTGGCCATGTGCAGGAGACAAGACTTGGCCATGTGCAGGAGACAAGACTTGGCCATGTACAGGAGACAAGACTTGGCGATGTGCAGGAGACAAGACTTGGCGATGTGCAGGTGACAAAACAATACTGGATATGAAGGCATGCACTTCAAATTCTCCCTGCTATAAAATATAAATTGCGTGGCCCGTTAAAATTAAAGAGCAGATGCACTATGCTTTAAATGAAGACTCCTGACATGCACGTTTGCGCTCTTCTTAATGATGCAGGAACACAATAGGAAAGCTGAAGTGATCGTATACCTTGTTTGTACGGAGTACTTATACATTGTTGGAAGGGTGGTCCGCACCGCTTATATTGGGTTGTGACGTGAACGAAGATAGGAGGACATTGTTTCTGCTGAGTGTATGCGGAGGGAAGGAATATTGTTGTGCTCATTGCTATCTTATTCCAGGAAAGACAATAATCGATTACCATGACAAGTATGGTGTAAATTTTGCTTTCCTTCCTATAGGGAACATCTTGACACGATAACTATATCCTGGACATACTCCTGCACAGCTCCTATTTTTTTCATTTCCAATCCTCAAACACAAGCTAACACTGCACTAATTTCCACAAATATTGAAAGATTTTTGTGATTCTGCTCTTTAAGCCAAACTCTGTAGCTAATCGAATAGAGGCTGAATTTGTCATTCAGTTGCTTTTAATCTTTCTCCATGATAACGTTTGTCTAACTCTCAACCGGATACATTCGAAATACGTTTCGTTTTTTTCCAACTTGACACAGTTATGAGTTCGGCAGCCGAGATATTTGCTCTTCCAACTAGGCTTGAAATATTTAACTTGGCTCCCTTGCAGCCTAAAGCATCTCAGGAGGGCTTGGAGTGCTTGCTTTGCTCTGTAACTCTCAACTCTTGCTTCTTTCTTCCTGTTAACCCAGTAACTACAGCCTCAAGTGCGGTCTCAGCAATTATTGATGTAAATAATGGAGCGGATTTTTATAATGGAGCGGATGTACATAATGGAGCATAGTGTTTGTTTCTTATTACTATTTTCTTTTCCTTGCGAATTTTGATCCTTGAATGGTGATTTGAATTTGAAACTTGAGTGTTATTCCGCGTACTCAGAAGGACCGATTGGTCTCAAGCCGTAAGCCGTGTTTATCATGCACCTCTTCCAGCAACTGTACGACTGCGATCACTAAACTAGATGAACATACAGGAAAATCATAGACATTTTTTAATTTAGTACCAAGATAGGTACTGGACTTAAATTTTACATTATGAAGACTTGTTCTTTCTTTTGCAGGATTGTTGCCAACCTGCAAGGATGTGCATCAAACCAACAACAACCGCCCCACGGTACTGGGATGCTCCGAACCTCCTTCCTCCGTCTTACGAAGTTCCAAGCTTAAGAGTCCAACAATCCCATCTTCAAATGCAGCAATAATGCGTTCCTTGTTCGAGCCCCACGCAGATGACAATAATTTCAACGAATCTGTGTCTGTGTCAACGATATCCTCAACTGTTGTGCCTGTCACCGCCTCCAATGCTTCCTCCTGCACTTCTGAAGTTTCTTTAAAACTGAAGGCTGACGGTAGCTCGACAACGGCTGCTCTGACATCTGCCAAGTTTATGCGGGCGGCGAACGGCACGTCGTCATCGCCAGGCCTTCACCCTCCTCTGGGCGCCGTACGGTCGCCCGTGTCCCCGAGCGCCGCCTGGGACGCTCGAAGAACCAAGCAACAGTCGCCCAGCGATCTTTCTGTGCATGGCAACGTGTCACCCGGTGCCCGGAGCCCTTGTGTTGCTGCAAATAATGAGACTCACGTCCCGCTGTCTGCTGCCTCTCACGCGCCTGTATCCCATGCGCCTGCCGCTCACGCGCCTGCCTCTTATGCGCCTGCCTCACACGCGCCTGTTTCTCAGGCGCCTGCCTCTCACGCTCCTGTTTCTCATGCGCCTGCCTTTTCCACACAAGCTTCGCTGTCGCCGTCGGCATCCAGCGCGTCAGCGATCTCACAGCCTGACATATCACGTGTTCTGCCAACAACATATCAAATACAAGCCCAGGTGCACTCCTCGCCATATCACAACAATAGCTCATCAAGGATTAGTCCCAGCTCTTCTTACCAGGCCTGCCATGCTAATCCATATCAAGCGTCCGATGCCAATAGCAATAATCTTGTGAACGATAACGCGGCGTCTCCTCCTGGCTTGAGTAATCACCGTGCCCATGGCATTACAAGCACAATTTCTAGCAAGGCACACGGTACCCCTTCTTCCCACCTCGGTCCTTACCACGCCCCTTACCAGACCACACAACTGCTCTCTAGCGGGCAACTGCCAGCACCCTCTCACCAGGTGAGCTCATCGCACTCCAGCAGCAGCTCACACCTCTCTCATCATGGCATCAGCGGTGGATCAAACCCAGGTTCAGGGTACTCACTGAGTGCCAACACTACTCACCAGGCGACCAGTCCTCATCCCTCGACGGGGACTCACCAGTCCAGCAGCTCGCACTCCACCTCGCACTCATTAGGGCACGGCTCGCTCTCCAGCAGCCAGCAGCAGGGGCACTCGGGCGGCGGTAGCTCGACCATCAACGGAGATCTCACTCCCAGAGGGATGTACAAAGGGGATCTGGGCGAAGAAAGGTCCCCTAAATCCAGTATATCTCACCTCTCTTTGTTGTCCGCTTCGTTTCCCTGCAGGTTGGTTTTGAATGATTTCATTCGTATAATGTGTTTAATTTCTTCTTAAGCAGACTATGTTCTGTATGCTTCTATAAAACTGGCGAGGTTACCCCTTCAATATAGCCTCTGAACATCACGTTAGTGCTTTGCATTTGTTCCATATAGCCCCTTAGCGTTAAAAAAGATGGTGTTTTTGCGAATCATAGGATCTTTAAATTTATTGTAACTTTGTGCACGATGCGTTAATTAAAGCAGTGGGAGAAAGACCCCTCTTGTATTAGGTACCTACTCAATATTCTGGTATTTTCCTCAGTAGTGTTCATAACTGAGATTCTGGCTACTTACGAGTTCAGTCACGTCAATTCAGGCAGACTCATCGACACAAGGGGCATGTTGTTCTGCTGCGAGGTTGCAATCTTAATTTCGGCGGATTTTTCAGCTCGAATTGCTGACGACGAAACCCAATCAGCATATTAGGACCAAAATAGATCCAAAATTTAAATCGAAGCTATTACCGCAGCTTCATTGTATTCGTAATGACATCAATGAGGATTTAATACGCGGCTTTCTGTTTCCTTGAATGCCAATGAAGCTGCAAGAAAATTATGGTTTTCAGAAGAGTTTCGCGTACGTGAGGTTCCGAACGTATCAGGGTAAGGAGTGCAGTAGCGAACCTGTGCAGGGAGTTCAACCGTTGAACGCAATACACCATCACAAACTAGTCCATTTTGCTGTTGTGCTCGCAACAGAGCTAGCATAATCTGAGGTTTATATGAGTTACTCATTAGAATGTTTGTTACGGCCCGAAATTGCTCATGAATATTATTATTATTGCAATTGCTCATGATGGCCAAAAGTACTAACAATGGCCGAAAATGCTCACTATGATCGTATTCCACCCAATATTGCAGCTCTTTGCTACGCAAAGTAGTTTTATTTGAACACTTGCCATATTTTACATTTGTTTTAGGCTTATTGCTTGAAAATCTTTATATTCGCAGTGCGAAGACATAACTGTCACCGTTTCATTTATTCACAATTAAATGGCTTGACTGGAAATCATTTCAGAATTCACTTAGCATGTCAGCCATGACACAGGAGTTACTTGGAATTTATAGTCTTTAATTGAGCTGCATATCTTGAACGGTTAACACTCGTTATAACTTAATAATACTTTTAAAAATTAAGAGCATTTTTTTTCTTGACAGCTAAAATGCTTATTTTGTCATGTCTAGCCTGACGTCGTCGCTGAGTGACGTGACGAGCGAGGCGCTGCAGCTCGAAACTGCCATCCGCAACAACGACACCTACCAAGTGAAGCGCCTCCTCGACCTCCACCCTGACACCTTCCAGGTGAGGGCCTTATTGCGGTGGAACAATTGTGAGTCGGGACTTGAGGAGGTTAACTCTGAGTCTGAACTTGAGGAGGTTAACTCTGAGTCGGGACTTGAGTCGTTGACGTGCGCGTCGTGACCAGAGTCGTTTCGCTTGTGAGTTGGAACTTGATTGTTCACGTGTGAGTGATGACTTCAGTCGTTCACGTGTGAGTTGGAACTTGAAGATATTTATGAGGGATCCAAGCGAGTCCCGCAATTGCCAACTTGTTGCTGCTACGATGTAAACACTAAATCAACTGTTAGTCCTGTCGGCCTCCCTGCAGGCTCGTGTGAACTTCATGTTAGGGATTCATCTAAGACTCGAGTCTCTTGTGGGCTGTGGATAATATAAAAAGTCAACGAATAGAAGACCTTTGAAAATGTCCGTACGCATCATTTGAACGGAACCTTACAGCGATCAATTCCCGAATGGGGAATGAATTAGGAATTCCTAGATGGGAAATGAGCTGGGAATTCCCGAATGGGGAATAAGCTGGGAATTCCCAAATGAGGAACGAGTTAGGAATTCCCAAATGGAGAATTGAATACGATGGGTTTAGACACACTTAATGTGACCTAACCATTACCTAAGCCAAGTAAAAAAATGAAAAACAACGCGCATTAAAAAAACTTTTCGCAGCAGAAACAATTTCAAAGACGCCTGAAGACACATCCACTGCACTGCACGCACCTCATAACCAGCGACAGCTTGTTTACGTATCAAGAAGAGGCTGCCATATCAGCCTAGAAAAATTGAGCCTCACTGCATCCCGTTTCTATCGCGTGATTGAACACGTTTCCCCGAGAAACTTTATGACTTAGCGTCGCATGATTTCCTGGAGAATAAAAGGAATTCGTAGCATGGTAATTTTTACATCGGGGACGACTTTATTTTCTTGAGATAAAGAGTTTGTTTTTGGAAATTTAACTTGATTGTGGTAATGATTGAGCTCCTGTCTCACTAGCCACCTTCAGTCTCGAGGACCAAGGAGCCACGTGAGACAGGCTTACGAGACCATCATGCACTTGCGCGATGCTTGAACCAATCTCATCCAGTCGCTTCTACCACCTTGTCCAAAGAAATGGCTGAGCCGTTCATAACCACGGATGAAGCTCAATAGATCAAACTATAAAATATAAACCGTTTTCTCTACATCTTTGTTGTGTTCATCAAAATTACAACATGTGTAACAGTTGAATAACGTGTACTTGGAGCATTTTATTCGAAATCGCCAGAGCAGCCATGTTTATCAAGCGCCAAAAATTAATTGGTGCACTTGCGGAAATTCTTTTCCAAAAAAAAGCAAGTATTTTAATTTGCTCAAGTAGGCAAATGTGTCGTTTGCAGATCTGTGAGCCGTTTGGGCATCATAAGAGAGAGCTGATTGCATCATATTTTACAACATTTCTCTTTAACTTTACTTTTTGTTGTTTGTTTGTCTGCTACAAATCTTATAATCGATATTTAACATATTTCTACCCATCCAATCGATCTGAAATTTTGCGCACTTGCGTAAAGTTGGAGACATTGCACGAATCGATTGACAGTATAAATAATTTTGAACTACTTTTTTTATTTGGTAAAAAAATTTAAAATTATTTTTTTAATATATAAAAATAAAATTAGAAAAGTAATTTAAGTGGGCATTTATAATTTATTGCTTGAGCCCAGCTTTTTAAAATGAAATCAGGCAATCCCACACAATTTACTGAAGAGAAGTAAAAAAATTTTCAAATGTATGGAAGTATCGATATTGAACACATATATTCACAAAAATAAAAAAAAGTTATTCACAGCATTGAACAAAGTAATGGTATTTTTGGCAACTCTTGGAATCGATTCGACGTGAAGTCTGATATAATAAAGTGATCATCCGCTCAATGCACTTTCGGCCACTTCATCTGCCCTTGTTGAACTGAACTGAAAATTTCAGTCTTCAGTCCTTCGTAATATTGCACTGAAAACTCGCACTTCTGTAGCAAGAAGAAACTTGACTTTTCTTCTCCATGTCCCGTGAAGCTCACGCCTGAAACGGTGCGGGTTTTTAGTGCATATAGGATATCATTTACGCTGCTTCAGCTCGTGAACGCCGGACTCGTACGGTCCTGCAGTGAACGCCGGACTCGTACGATCCTGCCGTGAACGCCGGACTCGTACGATCTTGCAGTGAACGCCGGATTCATACGGTCCTGCAGTGAACGCCGGACTCGTATGATCCTGCCGTGAACACCGGACTCGTATGATCCAGCCGTGAGCGCCGGACTCGTATGATCCTGCCGTGAGCGCCGGACTCGTATGATCCTGCCGAGAACGCCGGACTCCAAACAGTACAGTTTCCACAAGCGTAATGACTGCAGTGCGCACGAGATGCATATTTACACTCCTGAACCGGGCCATGATCGCGACACTAGCAACGTTTTATTACGAAGCCGAAGTTTGACGACCGCCGGTGTTTGTGTTGCGTGCCTGATTCTTTGATCTTGCCTCTCTCGGCCAAGTGGCTGCAACTCCGACATTTTAGCTCAACTTTCGGTCTTGCTGGAGCCAAGTGCCGTAGAAATGTTTGTACTGACCCGGAGAATAACTTTCCAGCTCACGCCTTGACAGGCGCAATTGAAATCTTTGCTTTACTTCGCAGCAGGTCAGGCGATGGCAGGAAACGTGCGCTCAAACAGCAGCAAGATTGTAAAACACTTCTCAGCCTGAGACCGGGAGTCGCTTGAATTACGTACCTGGGACCATACTTTCAAAACTCGCTAAGTGAACTTATGTCCTTACGCCCTATTTTCTTGTCTATGATTGGTGGATTTTGCTTCAATTACCGTCAATGATTGGCTGAAGAACTTACGATCTCCTAACTTTTTTTGAAAGTATAGGCCCTGATCTCCTGACGAGCGAACAGGTCGTGTTGTGTGCCGCACTCTGAGGGATGAGATACACTTGTCCCAATTGCTGGTTTTCCTTTGTGTGGGTCATCCTGACACACTTTAGCCTGGCAAAAGGGCGTATTTATTTAATATGGCATCATATTGTATATACGACCACGCAACATATATGATCCGCTCATTTTTCATAGTGTAAGGTAAAAGAATGTTTATGAGTGGCATATAAAATTTTTTTATTTCTTATTGGGGTAGAGAAATTATCTTAGCCGTGTTTATTTACTTTAATTGTCATTTTCATCGTTAAAGTAAGAATGTAATATCTTTTTTAAAGTTTAACTTAATTTCCTTATTAAAGTCAAGTGGATTTGAGTTTCCAAGCAGGATTTCGTTTATATGATCTATACTCTCATAAATTGGAAAAAGTTGGCCGTAATTTTAATTGAGTGTTGGAAGGGATCAATCTTATAAATAATTAAAACTAGAAAAAATATTTTATAAATGAACAGATCAAAACCGGTGCTTGCGAGTCAACCATGATATTAATAATTATTATAAAATAATATTAATGCTAATAACTAACGATTGCTGGCAACATTTCGATGGGATTTAGTGAAGCCAAAATCCAAGAAATGAAGTCAGTCATGACAGGCCGCCTCATTCACGGGAGCTGCCACTCCGCTACGGGAATACCTCGGTGGGAATTATGAATGTTCAAGCGCTCTCATTTATGTCATTCTGTCCAACAAAACTCGTGGAAAACTTAACAAAAATTACTAGAAATATTCTTGGATTTACTATGAACCTTTGCGACGTGTTGATGGCGAGATACCGACGAATGAAAAAGGAAATTATTTTAAAACTTATGAAGAGATATTGCTCGCTGTGCTGATGCTCCACGAATGGATGCATGTATCCATGGATGGATGTATGTATCCATGGATGGATGATGTATGTATCCATGGATGGATGTATGTATCCATGGATGGATGATGCATGTATCCATGGATGGATGATGCATGTATCCATGGATGGATGATGCATGTATCCATGGATGGATGATGCATGTATCCATGGATGGATGATGCATGTATCCATGGATGGATGATGCATGTATCCATGGATGGATGATGCATGTATCCATGGATGGATGATGCATGTATCCATGGATGGATGATGCATGTATCCATGGATGGATGATGCATGTATCCATGGATGGATGATGCATGTATCCATGGATGGATGATGCATGTATCCATGGATGGATGATGCATGTATCCATGGATGGATGATGCATGTATCCATGGATGGATGATGCATGTATCCATGGATGGATGATGCATGTATCCATGGATGGATGATGCATGTATCCATGGATGGATGATGCATGTATCCATGGATGGATGATGCATGTATCCATGGATGGATGATGCATGTATCCATGGATGGATGATGCATGTATCCATGGATGGATGATGCATGTATCCATGGATGGATGATGCATGTATCCATGGATGGATGATGCATGTATTCATGGATGGATGATGCATGTATCCATGGATGGATGATGCATGTATCCATGGATGGATGATGCATGTATCCATGGATGGATGATGCATGTATCCATGGATGGATGATGCATTTATATCCATAGATGGATAGATTCAAGGTCTGACTGCTCTGAGAATAATTTCCCGTTGCATACTTATCTGCAGGGTGGCGCTAAGGCTATCCAAAAGGTATGCACGCTGTTTGATATTCAGAAATTGGGATTGGAGATATTTTCTTAAAACTTGTGAAGATGAAGAACTTGAATTGTATTTTGATGTGTGGTCATGCCACGAAGACGAAGAACTTGAATTGTATTTTGATGTGTGGTCATGCCACGTTTTCAGTTGGATTAAACTGAAGATTATCTAGTGCAGAGTTTTCCTAGATTCTACTCGAACATCATAAATCTTGCGAATTTGTTGCTTGTTCTGTTGTAGTGCACTACAACAAATCGCGAAATTGACTTCCTTATATTCCGGAACCTTACACGTTAAAAATGATATGACTGGCATCTCACATATTTTTATCCGATCACTTTAAGTTCAAGCGTTTGAATATTGCATACCTATATAATTTATTATTATTATTATTAGTAGTAGTCTCATTGCCGCCGATTTTTCTCGCTGTGAAGTTGTGGGCTCGTAGGATTGAGAGTCGGCGTCCATCTGGAAATTCTGAGCGTTTGCCCAGGAGCTTTTCGATTGATTAAAATTAATTTTGAAGGTCACTCGCTGACGGTGAGCGCCAATTTTGCCAGCGCTCATGATGAGAGACATCGCGGCAGCAATTAAGCGAGCGATTACATATAAATAAGGACGGCATCCCTGAGATCATTTACATAATAATAAGGACGTCACTAAACACTAAATACTAATGCAAATAGGAAAATTAAATGTCTTACTGAATATTTATAATTCAAATCCACTGCAAGAATCAAACTGAATACCGAAGACAATAAGAGCAGGTGGTGATGAACACTGAGGATTGCGCACGATTGGTACGAACTCTATTTGTATCGCACGCACCACACGTTATTTTGTGTTCGAAAAACATCAGCTTCTTTATCGTCCCTCCACCCTGATGAGATATTGTCAGTTATTGCCTGCTTCACGGCCTGGGCCTATACTTTCAAAAAAAGTTAAGAGATCGTAAGTTCATCAGCCAATCATTGACGGCCACGCAAGCAAAATCCACCAATCATAGACAAGAAAATAGAGTGTAAGTACTTACGTTTACTTAGCCAGTTTGAAAGTATGGCCCCAGTCCACTTAACGCGGGATATCATCAGAGTCGTGGTCGTGGATGATACTAATATCATCTCCATGAGCATCGTGTCATTTCCCTCCTCATCATGATTGGAATAATTACGTTATGCGCTGGGGTCACGTCAACAAGGTAGCAGAGGCGGGTTTTCTTGAAACGAATGCGCAATGAATTGGTGCTCCGTGAACTACTCACAGTAATCGAGGACTAATTGCACGAAATACTTATAAGAAATGAAGGCTGCGTGCATGAACAAAAGTCTCAGCTAAGGCGTGCATTCGAGAAGAAAAACTGAGGTAATACAACGAAACTCGTCGTCTAAATTCAGGAACAATATTTCTTTAAGCCGGATTTGAAACATTTCAAGTAAACCATGAGGGGTAGTAATTCAGTATTTAGTTTTGAATCACAGCAAATTTGATGTGATCAAAAGCCTGGCTCCGGAAGTTGTTTTTAGCGTCAGCATCGAACTTTGACCAATCACGGAATCTCCGACAGAACGTCAGAGATTCCTAGTTGGGCCCCATAGCAAAACTTCCACCGCAATTTTCGCGTTCCTGTTGTAAAACTCTGTCTGAAAGAGAGAAGGATATTTGAAACCGTGCCCCTGTTTTCTTAACAACGTAACTTTCGCTGAACTTCGTTCATGTGTTCACAATCGCATGACTCCTGCATAACTTTCTTCTGTAGAACTTCACCGTTTGAGAATTGTGTCGGTACTTTAGTTTGTCACTGTTACTTTAGGTGACCTTTTTACGCTGTTTTAGAATTGTAAGTAACCGTTTTACTCGAACATGTCAATTCATCTCAAACTCTGAGATGAGAAGTCGATAGTAAACAATCTCAGTAATCTTTCCATATGAATATAGAATACAGTACGATTCGTGTTGTACACATGTAATACATTGACCTTTCATTCTCGTGTCATTTATCGAGAGATAAAATCTTATGTTTGAGAACCTGAACCTCAGCGGGCATGTGCGTACAGTACGAAAAGGGACGCTAAAAGGCCCCGGAGTTTTGCGAGGTCTTGCCGGGCGTTTGCTTTTAAAGGTTGTCGAGTAACACGGCAGCTTTAGGTGTTAAACTTCTGTCTTCGCTCACTGCTCTTCAGGCTCACTCGAGTCGGCTCCTTCGAACAGTAACTTTGCTTCTGTATATCAGCTTATCGGCGCACTAATTGCGCACCTAAATTATCGCAAATGCGGAACCGACGCTCCTTCATCTAATTACCTGTGCGAAAACTACGAACTTTTACCATCTCTGTACAAAAACTACGAACCTTTACCATCTCTGTGTAAAAAAATACCAACATTTACCATCGCTTCACCAAAACTACGGACCTTTACCATCTCTGTACAAAAAGTACGAACCTTTTCCATCTCTGTAGGATAACTACGAACCTTTACCATCTCTGTACAAAAAGTACGAACCTTTTCCATCTCTGCAGGAAAACTACGAACCTTTACCATCTCTGTGAAAAAATTACCAGCATTTACCATCGCTTCACCAAAACTACGAACCTTTACCATCTCTGTAGAAAAACTACGAACCTTTACCATCTCTGTAAAAAAATTACCAACCTTTACCATCACTTCACCAAAACTACGAACTTTTACCATCTCTGTAGAAAAACTACGAACCTTTAACATCTCTGTACAAAAACTACGAACCTTTACCATCTCTGTGAAAAAATTACCAACCTTTACCATCACTTCACCAAAACTACGAACCTTTACCATCTCTGTAGAAAGACTATTCGCTCACTGCTCTTCAGGCTCACTCGAGTCGGCTCCTTCGAACAGTAACTTTGCTTCTGTATATCAGCTTATCGGCACACTAATTGCGCACCTAAATTATCGCAAATGCGGAACCGACGCTCGTTCGTCTAATTACCTGTACAAAACTACGAACCTTTACAATCTCTGTACAATAACTGCTAACATTTACCATCTCTCGACAAGAACTACGAACCATCAACATCTCTAAAAAAAACTACGAACCTTTACCATCTCTGCGTAAAAAAATACCAACCTTTACCATCACTTCACCAAAACTACGAACGTTAACCATCTTTGTACAAAAACTACGAACCTTTACCATCTCTGTACAAAAACTACGAACCTTTACCATCTCTGTACAAAAATTACGAACCTTTACCATCTCTGTACAAAAATTACGAACCTTTACCCTCTCTGTAGAAAAATTACGAACCTTTACCATCTCTACAAAAACTACAAACCTTTACCATCTCTGTACAAAAACTGCTAACCTTTACCATCTATGTTCAAAAATTACGAACTTTTACGATTTTTCTCTGCTCAAACTACATATTTTAATTTGGCTTGTTGTTGTTCTAAGCTTAGTGGCATTGCCGGTGCCTCATTCCTTCATGTCATGGATGTTGTAATCCGAAATATTAATTGAACGTCTGATGTTTTATGGAAGAGTTTCGACGTTTTAGGGGCAAGCTTGTATTAGGATGATTCTTCCCAAAGCCCTCATAAGGTACAACGCAAGAAATCTTTGCTTTATTTCGAACAATATACATTCATTATTTTACAAAACAGTATATAGTGTAATCACATAATTAATAGACGTAAAACACGTAACATTTTCATATAAACGATGTGCACAGCTCGAAATACAAATAAATGATGTGCAAAGCCGTGGCGTTATGGTAAGGTACAATATTACATTTATTGAAGATCAATAAACGTATCAATTTGTTCACAGGTATCGATGTGAAATAGAAAGCCGCCAGATAACTTTGTATTGACCGACACTTTCCACTCGAAGATCTGCTAAACGCTCTTGAGCTCGTACCCTGATGTGCTGCAGTGCCGCGTCATAATACGCCGCCTCATATCTCTGATCTGCGCAATTTTCTGTCTCCCAGCGCAAGATTTATCGCGTAAATCTCGCGTCGATTACCGCATCCGAAGTCACATCAATCTGCGCTAACGGCGTCCGTAGTTGATGTAGGGCCGTCGCACCGCCACCTTCTTCCCATCACTCATTTGCTCGTCGTAGCGAGACGATGTTGCATCCACCCAGTCTCGGTATACATCGGGGCCTTCTAGTAACACATCAGAGCCTTCTACTGATACATCAGAGCCTTCTACGTATACATCGGGGCCTTCTACTGATACATCAGGGCCTTCTACTGATACATCAGGGCCTTCTACTGATACATCAGGGCCTTCTACTGATACATCGGGGTCTTCTACTGATACATCGGGGCCTTCTACGGATACATCGGGGCCTTCTACCGATATATCGGGGCCTTCTCCTGATATATCGGGGCCTTCTACTGATACATCGGGGTCTTCTACTGATACATCGGGGTCATCCATTCATACATACATCAGGGTCTCCCATTTATACAGCAGTGCATTCTTCTCATAATCATTAAGCAGCACTCGTAATTATCAGCAATATAGACATTGCCATTCTACGACATGCAGAACTGAAAGAAATATCGTTCCGTGCGTCATACAACGTAGCGTGTGCCATAGCGCTGCGGCAAAAACGGGATGAACATTCTAGAACTCCTAAATTCTGTGTGATTTTGTACATGTTTTAGTTGCAATATAATTTAAGATTAGATAAACATTTGAGTGTTATAGCATAAGTCACTGTTTCATCACGTTTCCATTTGCACTGCAAACTTTTATCGCCAAAAATAATTATTTATAGTTAGCTCTAGAGAAATATATGAAAAATTCTCCTCCAGTTCCTGTAAATAACATTGTTTTTAGTGAAACAAACTTTAAAAAAATGAAGATTCGTAAATTTTACGAAATATATTATTGAGAGATATTAAGCTGATTTTTTAGTTCCTCCATCGTGTCTTTTTCGTCAACTTTGATTTTTCGACGGCTTCAAAGCGTAACAAAGCGGACGGCTTCGTTCAATTGTGTCTTGAAGTATTAATAACAGAGTATTGTCTGTGTGACGTGAATGCTTCTAACTATAGAATGAAAAATTCAGTTGTACATTTGTGACAGTGAACAAGTCTGAATAAATTGGTTCAAATCTAACTTTACAAAGCAACAATGTTTGAAAAACAGTCTCTGACCTTTAAAAAAACAGTCTATATTCAGAATGTCTTTTATCAGCGTCAATACTATATTTTTGAAAGTAATTTTGGGCGAAAAACGCTTCTCTCGCATCTGGTGTGTCACCATTTTGAAGTGAACCAGGAAGTAAGAACTCGATCTTAGTTATTTGAATGTTTACACTTAACAAATTGTTAAATCGTGCATGTCGATGCAAAACCTGATCTGTCGCGGCTTTGTAGTATGTTGTGTAATCCTTTCATTTGTGATGCAGTCAGTTACATTTCAGCCCTTTATTCGAGAAGAAGGTATAAGAAATTAATCAAGATCTTTGTTATGGTTGCAGGTGCTAGGCTTCTGGTTCTCACTTTGCCATCTAAAAGCTACTACGTGGATAATGATGAATAATTGAGCAACATCTCCCTGTCGATAAATATTGAAGAAAATTGTAGTCTCAGCGTCCATTGTAGCTTCTTTACTAACAAGTACATAAATACTTTTGTTTACAGCGTATTCTGTTTAAAAGTAATGAGCTAAGAGCAAGGGACGCTGAAGCCTTGAGAAGCTTAAGCTTCAAGAAGAAGAGCTCAAAGCGTTAGTCCCAAATTAGACTCCAATAAGTGACCACGCTTCAGTCACCGGCTCGACAGTCCAGTGGTCCATTCATGCCTGGGTTGATGATCGTCAGCAGGGATGAAGACCTCGTCAAATATTCATGCATTCACAGCAAGTTTATGCTCAGGATAAAAACAGGTCAGCTCGAGCCTCTTCTGAAGCAATCTCGTAAGTTAAGCAGTTTCGCCCGCCATTTTTCTGTTAGCTCAAAAGTCGGGAGGAGGCTGAGCCTCGGTTCAAACTTGGCTAAATTGCGGCCGTTGTTCTTCTTTAACCTTCGAGCGCGCGAACAATTCTGGTAGAAATAAGATATTATTAAGTGGACGAGGGGTTTACCAAGGGCGCATCAAGCTGCTTCATTTGAAACTCTTGCGCTGCAGAGTCGAGAAAACAAGCGATTAGCAGCGAGACAACTGCGACCGCACGCCTCACAACTACCCTCGGACGCACTGCCCTTGGAGGCACTGCCCTCGGAGGCACTGCTTTAAGAGGCGCTGCCCTTGGAGGCGCTGCCCTTGGAGGCGCTGCCCTCGGAGCTTCTGCCCTTGGAGGCCCTGCCCTCTGATGCGTTACCTCTTGAGGCGCTGATACGAGAGGACCTCGCCCCACGCCCCACTTGCGACGAGTAAAGTAGAAGAGTACGTTAGTGTACGAGTAGTAATTATTGACATTCCTACTGGAGTGGAAATTACAGTGACGGCCAAGCCTTCAATAAGATCACGCAGCCGTCGCTGCAACACAAATATTATTGAAAAAATCTGCCTCCCTCTACAATATTCGGGATTGGCATTCAAGATCCCAAAAATGGCCTTTTTTGTGTTGTTTAATATCGGCATCAGTTTTAATTATTACATTAAATGTTATGATCACAGTCAGCTCGTAGTTACGACATGGTGAATATGAATGAATTTATTATCCCTAATTTGTATATCTTTTAGAGTTTTAGTGTGAATAATAAAATCTTTTTTATTATTGATGAAAGAAAACAACCTGCTGCATTGTCCGTTGTTATTATCGACAAAATTACTAAAAATTAGATCAGTACTCACTGCAGTGAGTGACAGAGAGCGCGTTTTCTCGTCCGTCCGTGATGTCACGGACAGGCGGACGAACGGGCCTGACGAGCACAATAGTGCCTTTTTCCATAAATGAGAAAATGCGCTAAAAATATTCATGCTCTGTTAGAGATGCATCTGAGCGTCAAAGTAATTAACTGAATGGCATTTTCGGTTCATGAATGGCATTCGCGTGAGATTTACTTCTGTCTCTCAAGTAAATCTAGCCCCAGTTATTCATTAGCAAATAAACCTTGATCGTTCGTACCGACAGCGGAAGCCTGATGTCCGAAACCCTCGTGCGTGTCTTCGTAATTCATTTAACCCAAGCTGTGATGTCGTCAGAAATAGTTTGTGGCGTCAGGCTTGGTTTGTGCAGACAGCCTGACTGAGTTAGTGCCCCAGTGCAGAGTGTCAGTCACGCGTTCGTCGTTTGTTTCCAGATGAAGATGCGCGAGGCATGTGTTTGTTTGGAAATTACCGAATTTGCGAGACGGAGTATGAGCTTCAGTAGAGCAGAGTACGAAAATTTTGATAGCACAAATTGGACATTAGAATTAAATCAACTTTTGCCCATCTGTGGCGACTGCTTTTGATGCAAAAAAATTGAATTGATTGAGAATAGTAACGACTCCCAAACCCAATTAGCCTGCATGATTGTATAGGTTTAGTCGCTAATGAATCAAAATTAAAACACTTTATTTCACCACTGATAAAATTGCAAATTAAACCATCATCGTCCGTAAAATATTACGATAAATACTCAAACGTTGAAACTTAAGTGCGTGGCATCCATCTTGTGCTTGATGTGTTAGCCTTCCGTTTAAGATTCAGTCTTGGAATTTCAGCTCCTATCCTGGGCTTTCAGGATTTCCTAAAAGTACCAAATAAAAATTCATAGGTAACTAATAATAAAGTAAATAAATAAAAATTCATAAGTAACTAATAATAAAGTAAATAAATAAACATATCAATAATCATGAAATCAAATTATTCACAAACGCTATTCCGCAACTATTATTTACAAATTGATATCGCATCCCAGTACAACACGTACCTCCGCTCCGGCTTTCCGCGCAACAATAATCATCGAATCTTAGCATTCGTACGAATTTCTTTCGGTGAACTCTAAACTAAAATTACAAACAAATTTTAGAATAATAAGCCATTTTTTAACAAAAATATTACCGCCTCACATTACATTACAAATGCCAAACGATTTCCCTCCTTTACAGAATACAAATACAAAAAGGTACAAATTCACTGCAAGCTTCCGCCTCTTGAAAATATTTACTTAAAAATACAGAAGCGTTAAATGTCAATCCTACAGCTGGAATTTGAAGGTCGTTCCTGCTTTTTGTTCTAGATAACTTTCTAAAATGTACTATTTTAGTTTGTTCATTCACAACCAATCTTCAAGAATTGGAAAAAATGCGGAAGAAAATGTCACTCGGATGTGCGCTGAAATAGAGCTGCGCTCCAGCGAATCGTGTGATCTGTTGCAGACTTCAATTGCGTGCTCGCTTCGTTGGGAAGAAAATTATGTCAGAATATCAGTTGAAAACTAAATTAAATTATTTTAAATTCATTCATGTTGAAGGGAGTGAAATGAGACATGAAAACAATTCTTCAGTTTAAGGGTCGAAGTGTTTCATAAAATTGGATGTCCACCACGCTAATAAAACAGCAATGCTATTTTCATGCGTGGGTGAAGCTTGCCGTAATAATTGACGTTTAATTTTGCCATTATGTCTAGACTTTCATTCGCAACTCATGTATCCATGGATGGACGATGCATGTCTCCATGGATGGATGGATGTATCCATGGATGGACGATGCATGTCTCCCATGGATGGATGGATGTATCCATGGATGGATGATGCATGTATCCATGGATGGATGGATGTATCCATGGATGGATAGATTCAAGGTCTGACTGATATGAGAATAATCTCCCGTTGCACACTTCGCTGCAGGGTGCACTGAGGCTATCCAAAAAGCATGCATGCTGTTTCATATTAAGAGATTGGAATTGGAGATATTTTATTAAAATTAACCAGTTAAAATTTTATGACTGGTCTCTCACAAATTTTATTCTCTCACTTGAAGTTCAAGTGGTTGGATATTGCATATATGCTTTATTATTATTAATATTATTATTAGTCTCATTGCCGCCGATTTTTCTCGCTGTGAAGTTGTGGGCTCGTAGGATTGAGAGATGTCCCACTGTACCCCGTGTCCCACTGTACCCCGTGTCCCACTGTACCCCGTGTCCCACTGTACCCCGTGTCCCACTGTACCCCGTGTCCCACTGCATTTTCCCACATCACAAACTTACTGACACAGTAATATGGTCCTGAGAGTGCGGTGCACCACGAATGTTTCGTCGCCACTTTGTATCGCGCATTGCAAATTCGATCTGCATTCTTCGAGGGCAAGCCAGGAACCTGGTCTGAACTCATCGTTGCCAACTAATCAAAGTTATTGATCATTTGAATTTGTTTACGGCAAACTTGTTTACGGCGGCATTCAATTTTGAAAAGCTTTAGCAGACGCAATTATGAGATCTACGACCTTTAAATCGATCGTTTGAAAGATAGGATTTGTACAAACAACTGCGTTTTGACCTTGAGGTTTAAAATCTAGCGTTTGTGAAATTATGTTATTGCATTAATACGGTACGTGTTATCTCTGATACGTTCTGTTGAGCTGGCCTTTGTTATAGTAGCAACTGGACCAGCATATGAGTGATTACTTTTCAATGTGCAAAGTAAATGCAGGATATGAGTTTCATGCGATGAGGAGGTGTATGTATTGCTTGGTGTCCTAAAATTTTGAGCTATGAAGATCTTATTTATTGCGAAAATTGCTTCTTATGGGAGCCTGATGAGCCCGAGAAGCCGTTAGCCGACGTAGTTGAATGTTTTGCTGCGCAAGAACTGTAAGCTGGACCGCTCTGCACCGGGTTGCGCTGCCCTGCAATTCGACTAATCCAGAAGCGGCTTGTAGTGTTATGCTCATGAAGTATTGCGGAGTTGTTTCGAGCCTGTAGCCTTCCAAGTAAGTTCTAGGTAATTTGTGTCATCACGGTGTACGACTTTAAAAACATCACTGATGTCTTGAGTTGTATTAGCCTTAATTAAGACATCAGTGATGTTTTGAGTTATATTTACATTAACACAACAGTGATGTATTGAGTTGTATTAGCCTTGAAACATCAGTGATGTTTTGAGTTATATTAGCCTTAACACATCAGTGATGTTTTGGGTTATATTAGCCTTAACAAATCAGTGATGTTTTGAGTTGTATTAGCCTTTCCACATCAGTGACGAACAGGCGACTGGTGGCTTTGAGGCGGCTGCGTCCCGCAAGCAGCAGCTCAGCGGCATCTCGACTGCGCCGTATCTCGATAAGTGAGTTGCATTTCATTAGGATTAATTGGCACAACTTGTATTCGACTGATAGTAATTGCAGACGATTTGCCCCTCAATACATTTTATTGTTAAATGAATTGAAATTTAAACGATTGATCCACCGTTGGAAACACGGTACTCACATGCCGGGCTAATATATTAGTAAAAAAGTTCTAACAGCGCCATTCTCTGCAAGGGTACAAGGACGTCTATTGAAAATTTATCAAAATGTTAAATTAATCGTCGTGGATAGAGAAAGAAGTAAATAAATGTTGTATAGAATCTAATAATAGTGAAAAATACATCAGTTTAGACAGATTGCCTTGAGAAGTACGTCTTTAGATGATTAATCACCCATATAGGAATGTCTTTTAACGGCTAATCGTCCGTGGTAGGATTATGCTACGCCTGTTAAAGAATGATCAAATGAGAAGGACGTCGTCAACGCACTCATCTTCCAGTAACGAACTCTCTAAAGAAGATTGTCGGTGTGTCTTTAGGGCATAGAATAGATCTTAGTATCCTCACCCTCCATGGGGTGTACAATCGCGGCGATCATTGCCTAATGAAATAATCGCACCGATAAATTAATTAATCGCATTAATTAATGTGCGATTAATTAATTAATCGCACTAATTAATGTACGATTAATTAATTAATCGCACTGATTGCTCTGTTGGCCGCACGCACACGGGGCCACCGCGTTATGCGCACAGGCCATCACCTCATCACTGGTGACCTCATTAGTTTAGGGTTCTCATTGTTGTTTGATTACACAAGCAACAAGGAATAACTATTCTATCATGAATATAAATAAAAGGAAAGTATTCAAAGAGACATTACTTCCTTGTCAGTTTAGGCTTAACGGCAGATTTTTATTGCTTTAGACTTTTACGAGCGCACAGTGAAGTAGGTACCGCTTTTCATCAAACGCTTTGCTCTCCCGTTTTTTCGAGTCATTAGCATTAGTAAATGCAGGCAAGCGTCCTAAGTATAGAAGCAAAATATATCGATCTGAATTAAAAATAGTGAACTTACTGGATCGTGGATAATCTCTGACCGACGTAAGTGGTCAGTTGCATTTATGACTGTGTACAGTAATTATGAAGGCATCGAGCCACGTTATGACTGTACTTACGACAGCATCTCTCATGTGACAGTACAATAATTATGAGGGCCGCGAGCCACGTTATGACAGTACTTACGACAGCATCTCTCATATGACTGTACAATAATTATGAGGGCATCGAGCCACGTNCTGGCTTTGTAAACATGCTTTCTAGCCTTGATGCGGGAACTTTTGATTTACAGACTTATTCCGTGGCTTGTGAGATACACGTTTTAACTTTGAAGCATCTTGTGTGAAACTGCGGGTTTGTTTTCGATGAGTAGGTCGAAAAAATGAGCAAAAAATACTGAGCAAAAAGTTTTAAATAAATTTGTACTTGTGTTTTGAAGCCATTACGATGGCTCCCAATTACGATGAAAAATAACGGGCATTGTTCTGTATCTCACATCAATTATAACGGACCGGATCATAGGGACGAATTGTGAAGATTTGTTTTTTTATTCAACCTTGTTCATACATACTGTATGTGTTATCAAGTGAAAAATCGAGCTTCGGAATTAATTTTTCCCATATACCCGGACGAGATAAGTGAAAAAATGTGGTATATACAATATTAATATAACTCAGTGCAAGTTTTCAGGATAGTTTTTTGGCGGTCAACGTATATCTCAGTTTCAGGTTATGGCTAGAGTGCTTCTATAAATTAGACATTAATAAATTAGTCGAGTTGATTGGTTGTTTAGTTGATTTTTGTGTCTGCAGTCGCAGCGACCCACGCAGCGACGGCAGCAGCAGCGGGGACTGTGAGGTCCCGCTGGTGTTCACCAACGCCGTCCACATCGCCATCGACTGCGGCGCAGCAGACGTCCTTCGTCTGTTGCTGAGGTACGGAGTCCCGCCCGACAGACCAGGAGTGCCTGTGGCGTCTGCTGCCCAGCAGACCTCAGCAACCTCCAAGAGTGCCAAGCCAAGTCCCAAGGTGTCCCCAACTGGGTTGGGTACGGACAAGCGAGCGTCACTTGTTGCTGGTTTTACGACATCCCCGCGATATTCCCCTCGGGGGTCACCGAGAGGTTCGCCTAAATGTTCTCCGAGATCAGGTTCTCCGAGACCTATGTCACCTGTGGCAGGGTGCGAGCGAACAACTCTCGGCGGTCCTCACGAAATGGACCGAAGATTGAGACCTACTTTGGTGAGACAAGCTGGATCAGAAGTTTTGGACGAACGCACTCGTGACATGAAACTTAACTTCAAGCCCGACACTGAGGGCGTCAGCGCCCGGCAGTCATGCGGCGTGTGGCGTGAGGATCAGAAGTGTTGGACGAACGTACTCGTGACATGAAACTTAACTTCAAGCCCGACACTGAGGGCGTGAGCGCCCGGCAGTCTTGCGGCGTGTGGCGTGACCACAGCAAGCGGTCGCCATGTGAGGCGACCACCGACCTCAGGCCGGAGTTCGAGGAGCGTAAGATGCGGTACCGGCAGGAGGAGGAACTAAGAAAAAGACAGGCGATGGCTCCCAATTACGATGAGGAAATCAAGAAAAGAGAAACTGCCAACGAAAAGTTAAGAAGAGACATTGAGGAAGCCATGAGAATACGCGACTTGGAGGAAAAACGTAGATTGAAAGACGAAGAAGAAGAAGAAAAAAGGAAAGCCCTCGAAGCTGAAGAAGGAAAGGACAAATTTCGGAGCAATGGTCGCGAGGAATTGGAGTCGATATCTGAAGGGAACCCCATGACCATCCCTGAAGACCCGAGCTTGGAGGACGAGGAGACCGGGCAAGAGAAGCGCGACGGCGACGACAAGAAGACGGTGTCGCGGCGCGTGTCGTGGGTGCCGGAGGTGGCCGAGAAGAGCGCTGGAGGTTCACGGGAGAAGCCGGCCTACAAACGGCGCCACTCCGCTATCGTGCGACGGGCCGTCGTTACCTTCCAGCGCCAGAGGTCCTTCTCGCTGGACAGTCAGCAGGTGCGTTCATCCCTAGGCTAGTAGTAGAATTATTATGAGTTGGTTGCAGCAATGCTGGCAGTTGTAGTGGTGTGCGTTTTATTTGTAACCTCCGTTGATGGACTTGATGGGCGCACTCAGGAACCTTATTATTTGCATAACACTTCAAAAAATACTGATTAAATTTAAGGGTTCGTATGCCGACGTCTTAGAGGCAAGCCACTGCCATCAAAAATTGGAATCAAATACAGCAATTCTGGAGCAAGCAGATTAATATTTTACAATACTATTCTGCAGCAACTATCCGTACTTCATCTAGAAATACTATCAATGGAGGGCATCTAGTTCATGTTCATCATACATACGTCATTAATGCATAGTTAGACTACGGCGTCAGCCTCATCTTGTGACGTGATGAACACGTCAAAGCTGATCTTGAGACGCTGCCCTCAGCAACGCTGATCATGTACGTGGCTGCCCTCAGCAACGCTGATCATGCACTTGGCTGCCCTCAGCAACGCTGATCTTGCACTTGGCTGCCCTCAGCAACGCTGATCTTGTACATGGCTGCCCTCAGCAACGCTGATCTTGCACGTGGCTGCCCTCAGCAACGCTGATCTTGTACATGGCTGCCCTCAGCAACGCTGATCTTGCACTTGGCTGCCCTCAGCAACACTGATCTTGCACTTGGCTGCCCTCAGCAACGCTGATCTTGCACTTGGCTGCCCTCAGCAACACTGATCTTGCACTTGGCTGCCCTCAGCAACAAGTGCGTGAGACGGACGGCGTGGTGAGCGAAGGCGCCACCGTCAGGTTGACGGACCCTATTGGCGAGCGCAACCGTTCCCAGCCTCGCTACTTCACCTTCACCCAAGCGCAACCATGGGAGCCTTCCCGCCCCCCAAACATGGGTGAGTGACGCAACCATGGTAGCCATACCGGCCCCTCAACCTAGGTGAGTGGCTCAACCATGAGAGCTATGCCGGGTCCCAACATAGGTATACATAAATGACATAACCATGGCACCCCTCCCCATCCTTCCCCTCCTCCCAGTTGAAGCGATTATGGCTGTTTGTTTAGGTTAAAGGATATGGCTGTCGAGCAGTTCTTGAGGGATATTATGAAACCAAAATGTAGCATGAGCGGGACAAACTCCTTATTGATTCAGGTAAGGCGCAGTATTTGATTGCCGTGTTGAGGACATCAACATGTGGGAGCAGATCAAATGAAATTCTTGCTCATAAAGGATTCCCTTTTGCAATAATGGCTGCTGAGAGTTCCAGTCGAGCTGTTGTGCGAACGACACTCGGATTCCTTCGGCAGTAATTCGCTTTGTCATGCAAAATCCTTCTTCCTGGATTAAGTCTTGACATTTAAATGATGCAGTATTTGTCGCCTTACGTGACATGTACCTTCTCGAAGAATCTATTAAAACTTGAACTTATCGATTTAAGCCGCGAAGAATTGATGTTCAGTTAAAAACTCGTATGGCAAAGTCAATAGAATGGGAGCCTAAACCTATTACAAACAATGTCAGATTTATTCGTCATCAGAAGGACAAAGAAGAGTAGGGGGCGTAGTATGTGACTCAACTTATCGTTATTACTTCATGCCCTTTACTTATTCCTCTCTTTGCTATAGACCATTAATCGCTGTCACTTTCTCCACAGTATATTCTTTCTCAGCATCGGTTTGTTCATGCGTGCGGCTCCATTACTTGGAGCTGTGATCTTGATCTCGTGACTCTTGATCAGCGGTTTGGAATGACTTTCATTACAGATTGAAGCGCAGATTGATTTAGTAATCTATTTGTTAGTGTTTATCTTTGCCTCTTTTTAATCAATATGTATAATTTCCCCACAACCTTAAAGCGGGCCACCGCAGCGCAAGCAGCCGCTTCAGCTCTCAAGGCCCCGCAGCAGGCGAAGGGTCCGCCAAGCTTCTCATCCTCAACACGAGCATCGCTCAGGACCGCCTCACCGTCTGCTGTGATGGCGGGGGCCGGCGCTCCTTCGCTGAAGTCTACACGCGGGATCATCTTTACTCGTTGCCGCCACTATTCCTGGCCGCGTGTAAAGGCAACACGGCCATCACTTACCTTCTGCTCAAGTATGGCGCTGCTGCTCTGGTCGTCGACCCCCTCGGCAACACGCCGCTGCATCTTGCCGTCTGCCAACGAAGTGTCAATTGGGAGAGCGTCTTGGACCTGCTCGAGTTCGGTGCTTCCATCACCCTTAGGAATAGCATGGGCACCAGGCCTCTCGATCTACACAACTCACTTGCCAGGTAAGAACCTGACAAAAATTACAACACTTTTGCTAGCTTCATTCTTGGTAGAATAGATATTTAAAATTATATTGTCTTAATTGCATTTGCAGATCCAAAAAATTTCGATAGAGCGTTTGTTTGTTATTTTGTGGTCAAGTTTTTTTATGACTGTGTACGTCATCTTGGGTGGTTACAACCATCTGCGGCCAGCATTATTTACGGACCAATATTTCATCGTACTTCCTCCTTGTATTCAGTTTTTAGGTTTATAATATTGACGTTAGGGAATACTCCAATTATGAACTAGGCTCTGAAGAGACAGAACTTGCTTGCGTCGGGAAGCGATATTCGTGTCACAAACGAGTCGAATGTCCCTTGAAGCATTCGTTCGTTGTATAATAATTAAGCAATTCATCTATTTTCAGCCAGCTTGCCGCTTTCAAATGCTGAATCACGTTAAAATTAAGCTTATGCAAATGGAAAAGCTTCACTAGTTCCCCATGGACTTAATCTCATTTAAGAGTTTGATGTTCGTGTTTTATGCTTATGACTTCCAGTCATATCCTCATTCAAGGGGATCGAGTGACGGCGGTCATGTTTTGCGTGCATCTTCATGTCTGTGCGCAATGCGAATCATGGGCTTTCATAAGGCTCCTTATTCATACACTGCAGGCTGCAGTAGCTGTGGACTGCAGCAGGCTGTTTGTTACTACACTGCAGGCTGCAATGCCTGTAAGTCTTACCTTCACTTAGCCTTGTACTCGCCCTGAGGTTTACGAGCGAGTCAGATAATTTATGAGCCCCGTGAGTGAAGCTGATGTGAGGTGCATGAGCCTCATATGATGTGAGGTGCATGAGCCTCATATGATGTGAGGTGCATGAGCCTCATATGATGTGAGGTGCATGAGCCTCATATGATGTAAGGTGCATGAGCCTCATATGATGTAGGGTGCATGAGCCTCATATGATGTAAGGTACATGAGCCTCATATGATGTGAGGTGCATGAGCCTCATATGATGTGAGGTGCTTGAGCCTCGTATCATGTGAGGTGTGAGATATCCTTCGTGTCTCAGCCAGTGCCTCACAATCATATGGCCTGCAAGAGGTGGCGGTGGCTCAGATCGGCCACGAAGCTTATGGAGCATCGCTCTTCCTCAGAAAATTTTATGACTACAAAAAGCTGAACTGAAATGAACGGTGCAGAAATGTGCAGTTTTCGTCTACGAATAAAATTAACATTTTCTTCTAATAGGACTAATTTTCTCATGGTTGAAGCAGCAAATAATTCAAATAAAAGTTCTTGAAATTTCAATGGCAATCCTGTTTGTTCTTGAGATATTTTCCGTGTTAATTATAAATTATAACCCAATATACTGACTTAGTATATGTGCTGAAACAAATGCTTCTTCTAATGGAGGTGCAACCAAATATTTCCTTTGAAATACTCCGATCAGATTTTAACACCAGCAATTTTTTTCGAGAGTGCTTTTTTAAGTGATAGCCCCTCCGTCACGCTGCTCGTGACAGTCCCTCCAGTCCCCCCAAGAGGTAACTCCAATTTTTTTAAATTTTCTTCTCCGATACACGATTCTATTGTAATGTTCACGGTATTCCGCAGCGTACCAGTTATTATACACAAAAGTGTACGATAACGTTATGTGTATCATGGTACTTATACTAAAGCATTAAGTATTGGCGGCCGCCGTCTTCTAGGCTGTGATGTGCATCATTTTATCAGCAAACTCTGTTTCTTATGCCCTATTGATATCAGTGGGGCATATTTGCTGCTTTTAACTCCCTGTGGCGAGTGCAGCATGGTACTGGGCTTCCCATTATTTGATTATTTATGCAGCTTTTCAGAAGTATCTACCGTAACTCACATGATCATCGCGTTACAGTTTACAGGAACATCTTGTCACTCCCGTGACTCACATTGGCATCGCGTTACAGGTTACAGGAGCAGCTCCCGTGACTCAAATGAGCATCGCGTTACAGGTTACAGGAGCAGCTCCCGTGACTCACATGAGCATCACGTTACAGGTTACAGGAGCAGCTCCTGTAACTCACACGAGCATTGCGGTGCAGGTTACAGGAGCAGCTCCCGTGACTCAAATGAGCATCGCGTTACAGGTTACAGGAGCAGCTCCTGTAACTCACACGAGCATTGCGGTGCAGGTTACAGGAGCAGCTCCTGTAACTCACATGAGCATCGCGTTACAGGTTACAGGAGCAGCTCCTGTAACTCACATGAGCATCGCGTTACAGGTTACAGGAGCAACTCGTCACCGACTGCTTTGCTGTCTTCGAGCCTCCAACGCGGGCTGAGCCTGAGGCAGAAGCGGCATCTCAGCGCGAGCAGCAGCAGCCTGCGCCCAAGCAGGCCTCGAGCCTCTTCAAGAGGCTGCAGGGCGTCGCCAGCCGCGACAAAGGCACCTCAGTTAACACGTGAAGGCCTCAAGGCGTTGCCAGCCGCGACAAAGGCTCCTCAGTTAACAGGTGAGTTGAATTTGTGGCTTAAAAGAGGCCTCTAGGCGTTGCCAGCCGCGACAAAGGCTCCTCAGTTAACACGTGAGTTGAATTTGTGGCATAAAAGAGGCCTCAATGCGTCGCCAGCCGCGACAAAGGCTCCTCAGTTAACCTGTGAGTTGAAGTTGTGGCTTAAAAGAGGCTCCAAGGCGTTGCCAGCCGCGACTAAGGCTCCTCAGTTAACCCGTGAGTTGAATTTGTGGCTTAAAAGAGGCTCCAAGATTTTGCCAGCCGCGACAAAGGCTCCTCAGTTAACCCGTGAGTCGAAGTTGTGGCTTAAAAGAGGCCTCAAGGCGTTGCCAGCCGCGACAAAGGCTCCTCAGTTAACACGTGAGTTGAATTTGTGGCTTAAAAGAGGCCTCAAGGCGTCGCCAGCCGCGACAAACAGTTAACCTGTGAGTTGAAGTTGTGGCTTAAAAGAGGCTCCAAGGCGTTGCCAGCCGCGACAAAGGCTCCTCAGTTAACCCGTGAGTTGAATTTGTGGCTTAAAAGAGGCCCTAAGGCGTCGCCAGCCGCGACAAATGCTCCTCAGTTAACCCGTGAGTTGAGATCGTGGCTCAATAGGCCCATTAAAATGATGGGTTCTAGGGATCAAGAGTGGGTGAGACGCTCATTGTCGCCGCCGGATTTCCTACAGACGTTTCCCTTCTCACTTTTTGACACTGACGGATCAATCATGGATTGAACTTCCATGTTTTAATTGTATGCCCATATTGCTAGTTCTCCTAAAAATTGTGGAACTTCTGCATACCATGCAAAAAGTATCGGTTTTTTCCCATATCGCTTCAACGTTTACAGTTTCATATTATTTCTATTACCGTATTCGATGAAGTGAAGTTCATCATCTCATAATTGATATAACTGCAGGTAATCCAATAAGCATGGTCGAGGGTGTCGCCTGTAGAGTGAAATAACTTAGTGTCTACCGCCGCGGTCATGCACTCATAGGCTGGGTTTTTAAGTGCCAGGCATATGCCAGTCATTGTCCAGTCCAATATTCTTTAATGCATTTCTATAGAAGCATTCACACCACGGGCATTACAAGTGCCTTGCACGGCTGGTATGAATGCTTCTATAGAAATTAATTAAGAAATATTGAACTATACCGTGGCTGTCATATGCCTGGCATGTGGCCGGCAGTGTGGTGTGAACCCGGCGCAAGACTTATCCCAAGCAGGTCACGACAATGCAAGTCATCCATGACGGCTCAAGTTGAACGCTTCATTTATATTTATTTTGATTTTTCTTTGCTGTCAAAATTTAAGCTTCTCACTAAACGTTCTATTTTTAGTTTTAATTTATGCGTGCAATAAATTAGTTGAAGCTTAAAGGAGCAAATGTTATTGAAGATTTTGCCGATGAATTTTATTATTCATTTATAGCTTAGAATCGGATTTAAGATTACTTCTTTTGGTGCTGATAAGTTTGATACAGTTACCATTTTTGGAAGCATTGATTATCTTATCTTAGTTTGCATAACGCGCGAAGTATGGTATATAATTCTTAAGGTCATATGAGGACAACTCTACGGAAATGGCAACCAGTATTTAACTATCTCTTCCAGGTGGCAATTATTATGTACTAATTGTATTGTCCAAGTTCTGGAAATAGGCAATTTTCATTAAATATTGTTTTCAATAATTATTAAATATTATTTTTTATTGGGAAAGATCTCGAATTCTGTTACAAAAGTGTGCTCTTGTATTAATATTTGTCCGGTGATAATAACCTGCTGAGGAGTAAATATGACGCAGTGCTGGAGCTGGGAGTAAAGGCCGCGCCTCAGTACACACCACCAACTCGTCTGCCGGCGCGGGCGGCACTGCGGGTGTTCACTGCAGCTCCGGTGGTCGTGTCTCCTCGGCCGGCGTAGGTGGCACAGCAACCGCCCCGTCAGCCACCAGTGGCGGTGGCAGCATCGTGGTGGGAGGCGGTGGCAGTGGCACGTCAAGGGACATGGATGAACTGAGCCTCGCATCTACTGAGGCGGTGCTGCATCCCAGCGGCAGCGTCAGGAGTCGCTCGAGCGTCGTGCATGACCAGTGTCTGGCGAGTCAACGTATTGTTTGTTTAGTGTTGTATTGAGCGACAATAATTTGGTGATTCCTTTATTTTGTTTTGAGTTTTACTGAGCGACTAAAATCTAGTACAAATTCAGGTAGTAATTTTGTTGTATTATAATTTTGCTATCAATATTTCTTTTGAATGTGTTGAACAGTTTGTCTTGTATTTAAAAATAGCAAAAACTTATAGCTGATGGAGTGTTAAGTATCATACAGTATTGAGCGCTGGGCGTGGAAAAGTAATGGTCTATATTAGATTGGCGTTGATGAATCTATTAAACAGATCAGCTCCAGCCGCTTAAATCTCATCTCTATTGATTTATTAACTCGATCAAATTATTTTTTCGATAAAGGTTTTACTTTTATAAAAATGCTATGGGTATGGGGGAGTCCCTGCCTACATTGGGCTGCTGGCCGCTTTCTGCGTTGTTAAAGTTATCATTGTGTTCTGGTATTGTTTCCATATTGAATAAAAAATCTCAAAGCAAGGTCAATATCTTCAAACCCTCAATCCATAAAATTCATTTTTATGGTGAAGCACAGTACACTCGAACTGTTGATCACCTCTACGGTATCCCGAATGAATCATCAGTAACATCGATTCTGACGCTCAAGTGCGATGTATTTACCATCGTTTATATTGAATTCTAATGAGTGTGTCTCATTATCATCCTAGATTAACCGCGACAAGAATACAAGAAAAAATCTTCCGAATAATAAGGACTAATTTCACTCAAAACGTGTGCATACAAGCGTTCTGTTCCAAGCCTTCGTTAAATTAAATCTGTAAAGTTTACCGCCCGCTTGTTGTCCAGGCAGTTGGAGGTCAGCGTTCATTTGTGCAGTATTTGCGTACCTGGGACCTTTTACTGAGCACCGCCGTGTGCCGGGGGTGTCGGGATTAAGCGATGCCGTGCCCGGCGTAAATGCATCACCAGACATTTGACGTTAACTCAACGTTGAATTAAATGTTTTTCCGTCGAATTAACTTTAATTTGACACTTTTTCAACGTCATTTGCCCTGTGCGCAGGACCCCATGCGAGGCTCGTTGCACCGCTGACGTGTGTGACTTGATTGCAAAATGATGTAAAAGCTTCAAAGATTACCGATTATTAGCTTATTTCTGTATCACTAACTTGCCATTGGTGTAGAAATAAAAGCATTACTGGTTAATTGTTTCCATGTTCTTCGAAACTGTATATAATTAAATAGGTGTACTAACAATTGCATGTATGATCGAAATTTAAATAATTGCTAGTCTGTACACATGGAAGTTACACCTCCACTGGGATATGATTTTACGGGACAGTACTATGATATACATGCGACACCGTCTAGGGTTACGCACCCCCCGCCTTTGATAAACTAAACCGTATACTTGTTAATGCTTTAAAGTTCCTCCTCTACGGAGAGCTTCTGCCTTCGAGTCGATCTCGCCAAAACCAGCGGCAGGAAGATTTGAAACTCCATTGTGACTGAACTGTTTGCTTGAGGGAAGTTGGTTGCCTCCAACTACCCATGAGAATGCATTGCCGAGGGAGAATCTTTTCAGAGGATCGGACTGTGTCAGGAAACTTGTTGTCGTTGTAAAGCAACGGCCCATTTAGAAGCCACGGCAAGGCAGGCTGCGGCCGTGGATTTCTGACACGAATCTCGCAAAGTGACAATAGCACTCGGCGCGATGTCATGCCTCTAGAAGGTCGCGGGAATTGTTCTATGTACAACAGATACGGGATGACGCATTTTTTGCTGCACTGGATTGGTGAATTACAAACTCCCTGGACCTCAAAATTTTAGTTTATTCTGTAATGTGTGAGACACAAAACCTTGAACTAACCGAAGCACATTGTAGGATAGCCTAATTTTGGAGACATTATTTTGTGTTTTATTGATAACCCAATGGTTTTGTTTGATGGCTGTCAACAACATTGCAGGATGGCCCTATGTGGCTTGCATTTCTGGGTAAAGTTACAATGTCTAATAGATGTTGCCTGGTACCATCACAGAAAACAACGAAGTATTAGCCGATTATATATCACAGAAAATAATGAAGTTGAAATTATTCTCGGAGTAATTTTACTTTCGATTTTGAATCGTATCTATGATGCCCTTTGTAAATACTTATGTCATTTCCAAATTTCAATTTTAACCGTTATGAATAACTCTTCACCTACTTCAAAATCAATATTGTATATACGAAGCGTGGCACAGTCTAATAGAATGTCTCTCGGAAACCTTATATTAGAAAATTCCAATACCACAAAAAGCCTGATTTGCCAAATAGAAAAAAAACAAAAGGAAGATCGTCGATACAATATACTCTCTGGTTTTAAATGAAACTTTTAGCAAAGAACACCTTCTGCCTAACTATACTAATATATATATCCGAGTTCAAAACATTTACTAACGCTGAACATTGCGCCGTTTTTGTGTCATAGAGCGATGTTAATAATATTCACTCTAACTCCTGTACCTTTGATTTAAGGGTCTTGGGCCACACTTTCAAAACTCGCTAGTGAACGTAAGTACTTACGCTCTATTTTCTTGTCTATGATTGGTGGGTTGTGCTTGAAAGGCCGTCAATGATTGATTGATGAACTTACGATCTCTTAACTTTTTTTGAAAGTATATGAGCCTCTTGTCTAAATCTTGGCCAATGTTGCAACGGATTGTCAGCTCCGTAAGGTTTGCTTGTTGCTGCCAGCAGGAGCTGACGCTGGAGGACCTCAGTCAGCTCGGCAACCGACGACGTCTCCGCAAGCTGCACGAGGAGGGCATGGAAACCGTTTAAATTATCATATTTGGAGATAACCATTGTAGAAAAATGACAAATCTGACGAGCAAAGAGAGAGATTGAGCTCAGAGTGAGAAATGAGCGTAATCCCATAGAGTAAACATAATTTACTACCTAAACAATTTAAAGCAATACATTGTTCACATATAAGATATTAGTAAAAAAATTATAACAGTGGCGCTAATGCCACGACTCACCCTGTTGTCAACGTCAAAACCTCAAACAGAAGAACCGATAATCGGGATCAAGCAGCTCATACTGATGGCTACAATGAGTCCTCCACCTCATCTAGTCCAGCTCAATCATCCTAATCTTAATGCACGAAGAAAATTTGCGAGCTACGACAGTACATACACATGCGTTGCGTTTTTATTCACTTCACCACTCCCGGCGCGGAGTGGTGATAGTTTGTGGTTAGTGATGTGTGATGCCCTGATGGTGACGTGTGATGCCCTGATGGTGACGTGTGGTGCCCTGATGGTGACGTGTGATACGCTGATGGTGACGTGTGGTGGTGACGTGCCCCCTGCAGGGTCGGGGAGCGACGGCCCCCTCAGCCCTGGGGAGGTCGAGCGCAGCCTGGCGCTCCTCAAGCAGCTGAGCGCCAACCCCGAGTGCCTGGGCAGCATTGTACGTGCGCTGCTACTCCACGTGCCCGTGCTCGTGCTCTTCTACGGCCGCAACCCCGACACGCAGCTATTCGCGTGCCTCAGCTCCCTGCTGCACCACGTGCTCAAGGTGCGTATCTCAGCTATTGTACCACGTGCTGAAGATGCACAATACTCAGCACCTTCTTAATTGCGTTGTGTCTGCGTAAGGTACAGTAGATTGGCTCAGTGTTTTCGCAGCGAGTATTTTAACACGACTGATGTTGGCTCAGCTTTTTGGCTGCGTTCTCCAGTTCCCCTCGAAAGTTTCTTCCCGTTGCCTCTTGGCGTCGCCGACTCCCTAAGCAGGTTGCCCTAAGCTCCCCACAGGTTACCCTAAGCTCCCCAGAGGGCTGGTCCCCCCACGTCCCCCCGGGGTCCGGTCCCGGCACCTCCCTGTGGGTTGGTCCCATCACTTCCCCGAGTAAGCCGGTCTCCCCACCGCCTCACAAGGAGCCAGTCCCACGCCGTGACTTGACCCTGTTTCTCACGCCCCCCGCGCCCGCCATGCTTTGCTGGTACGAAATTTTCTGAAACTTCCAGCGCCGCAAGACTGACTGTTGGTCCGCTCGTCAAAAAGCGAGCAGTTGTGCGAGGCGGTGTGACGAAGCAATGAGCTCAAGCCCGCGGGTACTTGCGTGTGTCAAGAGGCGCCATTAAGCTCCACCTGACTGATTATATACTTCTACCTGAACCTGAAAACGGGTATTTGTTGACTAAGTTCGTGAGAAATAAGTAATACATTTCTCTCTATAAAACTTATCTTGATACGGGGTGGTAATACAGGAGAGTTATATTAGAGGTATAAGGCTAAGACGTCCACCGTTAGGTCGGTGTTGCTCCTACGCGAGTTACATGGCGGCGTACTTGTCAGTTACAGGGGGCCTTACTAACACGAAGGTTCCCAACCCTTTTATAGAATCACGGCTTCCGCCGTGGCTAGAGAATCACGGCTAGAGTCTTGATCGCGTGATGTTCCACGTGATGTCATCCATTCTGACTCAGGTCTTTTACTTTTCTACCAATCACTACCACATCTAGTGAATACTACGTCTCAATTATTGTTGATTTAATCATAGAATTTACTTATAATAAATAGAATGAGACGCCTGATTGACACCGGACACGTGCTCGCGGCTGTTTCGGTTTCTCTTACAAATAAGTAAATTTATTGGCACACGAACTTAGTTTCCATGCTCACCACAAGTATTACGGTTCAACTCAAAGAACATGTGAGGTATTGAAACCATTGAATATTGGGTCGGAACCTAAATTTATTAAGGACGATCAACTTTTCTTTTGGTTATAATTGGTCGCATTTCAAATGTGTCCCAAGAAAACTTTTTCGTGCAAGAATCTAAGCTTCCTTTGGAAGGATGGAAGCAACTATCGTTCTTCCAAACTTATTCAACAACTCATCTTATTCAACAAATCCAGTATCCGTTGACCTGAAGAATTTTTATGATCTGACGCCAAGACGAACGCTCTGAGTAGACTGATCAGAACTGTCCAGTTTAGAAAACTGTTCAAAATTCTCGAACGAGTTAAATAACGCGTCCTATAATTAGCGTCTCGATAACCGATTCTCTCTAAATGGCCAATAGTTCATCTGGATAGTCCAACAATTTTTGCTGAATGAACGCCATGATGAATTGACCCGTGGGATCTGACGCTAAATATTTCCTCCCACTCTGTTACAATGCTATTCCTACCGACGCCTGAAATTAATCTTGTACTCTAGGGACATGGATGGCATCGTTGCGTTGTTTACTTCCCTTCCGCCCGCAAAAAGCGCCGCTGCTCGCAAATTTTAGACGTCCTGGAAACAGGATTAATTTTTGCCCATTAGGAAGCCGTGATTAACGCCGCGACCGTCAACACTGTGGGGCGTGCAGGATGGACAGCGGGTGTAGGAAGTTTGAATAAATTTATGACGTTCGGAATTGACCTAAATTTGTCGAATGAAACCAATTTTTTGTGGCTTGGAAATGCCACTGAATATTTTGCCTGGTAAGCGACCTACTCTTAATATCAGAGATCGAAACTTTGGTCATTCGTGACTTTTTGATCTTGAAAATTATTTGAGTTTTCGGCTCTTCCTTTCTATTCTGTCTTTCACGTCCGCAGGTAACCAGAGTGCACGTCCAATATAGCAGTTAAACTGAAATAATTTTATTTTCTTCCTTTATTTTTCATAAATAAGTTCTGTAGACTGTATAATGAGATACGCTACAATACAATTTTCTGTAATGTTTGACCATTTGAAAATTATATCTAGTTAGTTGAAGTGAATAAATTCAAATTTGGAACAAAGCAACACTGCCACCCCTAGCGCATTTCACGATTATATTGGAAGTTACGAATTGTGGACTTGATTATACGAATTGTGGACTTGGTTCGAGTTACGATGATTGAGAGAATCATACATTTGGTTTGAGTTACGACCGCTGTAGGAATCGGCGAGAATGTATTTATTGATTTCATTCATTGCCGACGCTTTGACGTGCGCAGGCCTCGTGTGAATGGAATAAAGAGCCATAATAAAAGAGCCAGCCAAAAAGAGACCTTTGACGTGCGCAGTCGGCCAGCCTCTTTATGGCTGGCCGCCGCTGCCGCGCTCCTCGTTTAATGAGGACCGAATTGCGCGCACCAACGCCTAATTAACGAGCGCGCCACGTATCGTGATAAGAAGGCTGGGCTCACTAACTGGAGTGTCACTTGCCTCAGTAAATCGAGTGGCTTCTTCGGCCTCACTAACTTGGGTGTCCAAACCTTGCTGCTCTCCCGTGTGTGATGGCAGCTCCACGATCTTTTTATGCAGCATTGTATTTATGATAGGTTTAGAAGACTTGACTATCTGATAATTTCGTGTTAACATGAACTAAAATATGCATGAATATTTATTCACTTACTAAATGATTTGGCCCCACCAATGATCCGTTCTAAATATCCAGTCGACAGATACGCGAAAGCCATGTCTTCAGTGCCCAAAAGTGAACTTTCAGGCACTGTACTGAGTGGGCTAACTGCATTTATATGATTGCAGTTTGAAGTGTTTCCTTCGTATTTCAAACTTCTAATAACTCCCTTTCTTGTCTTGTACTTTATATTTATCGTAGACATTTGGTATCACGTGTTTTAATTTCTTATGTGCAGAATTGCCTGGAGAATTTTTGTCCCGGCGAGCCACACATGCGTCCTGTAGCAGGCGCGGATCACCACGCGCAGGGCGAGGGTGGACTGGCAGAGCAGACCACCGCCGTGGACGGTCAAAGTCCCTGCCACGCCCAAGTGTCGGCCACCAATGCCATGCAGCTCCAGTCCCCAGTCCTGGGCATACCAACTTCCTCCTCGTTTTCAGCCATGGACGCGACGAAGATGTCGTCCGGCGTGGCGCTACTGATGCCACAACCTCAAAAGTTAGGCAGCTTCTCTCACCATCCCTCTGGCAGTGTTGGGTCAGTGCCGGCAGGTGCTTCTGCAGCTAGGATCAACAATGGAGTTGCTTCAACTGCATCTCAACAGCAGGGACGGCAGTACACGATTGTGTCATCATCTTCTTCGTCGTCTTTCAGTGCTCAGCCCAACACGGCAGCCTCACTGCCGGCGCCAAGCAGACTAACCGCTGGTCAACTGCCTGGAGCCCAAGCTGCGACTTCTTCAGGACCGCAACAACCCTGCAATTCAAAGCATATTTGTTCGAGTGGCACTCACAGACACAAGCACCACCGGCACTCCACCTGCCGTAGCTCCCCCAGCCGCTTTCACTCCAAATCCTCAGCAAACGTCGCTTGGAAGCGCAAAGAGGCGGCAGCCGCCATCTGCGTGCTGGTGAAGGCATGTTCAGGTCTGTTGGCGGGCGTACACGAGCTGCAGTTCACCGCCATGACTACGCTTAACAAGATCATCGACGCTGCCATCGTCTACAGAATCGGAGACTTGACCATTGTTCAGGACCATCATTTGCTCCCCGCCGACCAAGACATGTAAGGGTTACAAATACTTAACATTTCTTTGATTTTATAAACTTCTTACTACTTAGTCTTCACGGATTTCTTATTTTATTTTTACTTTATAACAATTATATACATTAATTGTGAATAAATTGCTTTTTCACACGATTTCAGGGGAAACAATCCATCTTGCCATACAATGAAATGATATTAACATATGCATTAACCAATTCGAAACATTTTGCGCACAAACATGCATTGAGTTTTATTGTGACATGAAGTGAGAAAACTAAAATCACATTTGATTTGGAACGAGTTTATGTTCCTAAGTAATTATTGGATGAATTTCCATGAGTTAATGAAGCGATTTACAGAATAATTAAAGTCCCGGATCCCA